CGTCCCTGCAGGGGCAGGAACGGAGGCCCAGGAAGGGACAGCCTGCCAGGGTGGGGTCCCACGGATGCCTTGGTGCCTGAGACTCGAAGTTCACAAGGCCCCACTCCTCCCCCAACCCACGGTCACCGCCACAGTGGGCAGTCCTCCGGGTAAGTCTCCTAAACTCCACCAGGCCCAGTTTTGGGTCGTTTGGCTCAATTTTTAGGTTAGACACGCACTGCCCGCGTGGAAGTTCCTGGGCGGAGCCCTGCAGAGAAGGTCCCGCACAGACAACAGGCGGGGACCCACCCAGCATCCTTTGCCCCCCCAGCCCGCCTGCCAGCATGCCCTCCCCACCTCCTCGTGCCCCCTGCATCCCCTCGCGCTCCCCCCAGCCCCGCTCAGCCAGGCCCAGGCTCCCCACTCCTCACCAGGCTGGGGGCTGCCCGCTCCAGGGTGCCCTGCCCTCTGCAGAATTGGCACAAGGACAGCACTGTGTCCCCAGCTGTGAAATCCATGGGCCCCGTCCTCCTTCCCCTTCTCCACCCTTCACCCCCGGCAGCTGCTGGGTGAGACTCTGTTGAACAAACCAATGAACAAATGAAGGAATGAACTAGTGGAATCTTTTCTGTGAAAAACAGAAGCTGTGTTAGGTGCCTGTGCTGGGAACACAGGACATAGCTGACCGTTTCTATACGCCCCTCACTGGGTCCCCAGGACGCATGGGCAGCACTGCCTCGGTCTCCCTCCTGGCCTCCCCAGGTGACACCCTGGAGGTGTCTCGAGCTTTGGCGCTTCCACATTCCTTCCCCGACGAAACGTGCTGCTGCGCCCAGGGAACCGGCAAACGCATGGCCGCGGGCACAGGCCTCTGCCGCCTGCTCGGACTTGCTGAAGTATGTGTCAGTAATCCTGCGCCCGGCGGGCGGGATGGGGCTGGGACGGCTGCAGGCAGGGCGGCGGGGGGGGGGGGACACACTGGGACCCGGGACCCTCCCCACGGGCCCTCCCAGCTCCTGCGGAGGGGTCTTCCAGGCAGAAGAGAGGGAGAGCGAGGAGGCGTGTGGCCCCTTCCTGGGGACCCCACGGTGGGAGGAAAGAGGAAGCAAGACCTGGACGGCCTGCAGGCAGGTCAGCAGCCCTGGCGGGGCCTCGGCCCATGTGGCTTAAGGACAGCCCGCCCATCAAGCTGGGCCGTCACCCCACAGGGTGACCAGCCTCCCCCGGGACCTGGGGTCTGAGGATGGGAGCCTCGTTCTGGATGGAGAGGCCTATCTCAGAAGACAGCCATTCAGGATGGGCCAGGCCTGCCAGAGGCCTCTCTCGTCACCCATGGGGAGGCTCACAGGACCTACCAGGGTGCCTCTGCAGAGACCCCCCAGGCCTGGAGGGCGGCACAGCTCCCTCGACTCCTCCTTCCCCTGGGCTTGGGCAGAGCTCTGCACCGAAGAAGGACGAGAAGACGTGGCCTTGCCGTCCAGGCCGTGGCACCTTGCGGCCCAGACTGGAATTAGGAGGACGCTGGGCAGGAGGTGCGGCGTCAAGCGGCTCGCAGGCTGGGGGCACAGGGCGCTTCCTGGAGAAGGGGCCCGGGATGACGTGTGGGTAGAACTCGTGCACCGGCCCCGCCACGGTGCTGATGGACCCGCCGTGCCCACTGGCCACCTCCCCTCCAGGAGCCTTGGATTAAAGGTGGTCCCACCACCTCCCTGGACAGACAGGGAAACAGGCCCAGGAGGGGAGGGGCAGAAATGGTGAAACAGGGGAATCATGGGGTCAAGCCCCTGCCCAGAGCCCCTCTGTCCTTGAGAACTGCTGTGAGGCCCCTGCCCCCGAGAGCCCTGCCCACGGTGCACCGGCCCCTCGCATTTGCTGGATTTTACTGCAGAAAGAAACTGAATCAGGACTCAGGAAACCTGAGAGCCTGCCCCCCATCAGGACCCACAGGGAACGGCGTCCAGGCAGGGGAGCAGGGCCCCCTTCGCCCTCAGCCTCCATTCTGGGGAGTGGCTCCCGTCCTCCGGCCCCACTGCACGGTTACAGTCAAATCCACGTGGACGAAGGCCATCTGCCCAGGGGCCCGGAGCTGGGCCAGGCTGGGTCCTGGGCGGCCTCCTTCCCAGCGCGTCACAGCCAGGCCTCCGCTCTAGCCTGGCAAGACGGTCTGGCGAGGCGCCCGGCCTTTCAAAGGGCCCTCCTCAACAGAGCAAGTGAGCGAGGGAGGAGGGAGAAAACCATTAGTGCTGGCGGGCGGCAGGCGTGGCTCACGTGGCCCCAGCCACAGGCTGGAACTGGAGTCTAGGGGCCACTTTCCGAACTGCACGTGGGTGTGTTCTGGGTGGAAGGTGATGCCCCCTTAGAAACAAGTTATTACTAGAAAGTTAGCCGACAGCAGGACTCACAGGCGTCCGGGGACCGGCCGTCGTCTCACGACCTGGTCTAAGCATCTCTGGCTGCAGCTCCTCCAGGCTCACTTACCACCATGGGCACGGTGTTCGAGCAGCCTGTGTTCTGCTTCCTGAGGCTCGAGTTGTCCTCTGCACCTCGGGGGCCTTCTCGACGACGGTGCTGGCAGTTACTCAGGCCCATGGTGTGGACGTGCCGTAATCGGCCCGCCTGACCCTCGGCCCTTTTGCTGTGTGGTCGTCCGTGTCTCAGGGCAGGGGTGCATCCAGTTTGGGCCCCTCTGGTGTTGAGGGGCCTGCGGGACGTCAGGTGTGGCGTCCAGCTGGGCAGTTAAAATTCTAGCTCCCTAGCTGGGCAGCAGCTAAAGGTGGGTGAGGGCTTCTCCTGGGCCATCCTGCACTGAGGGGTGGGCAGAGGAAGGGAGCTGCGGCAAGTTCCTCCTGGGGTGAGTCACGAGGCCAGGTGCAGAGTGAAGGAAACGGATGCGGAGAAGGCAGGCCGGCCTTGGCCTCTCCCTCGGGCTGGGTAGGGCCCTCATGCCCTGCGGTTCCCAGGACCAGCGCCCGGTTTCCCCATCAGGCCAGGGCTGGCCCACCCCTGAGGTATCGTCAGCCAGAACATCCTGCTGTGACGATGGCCCTGAGGAGAGGAGGAGACACATGGTGTCCCTGAGGAGGGGTCATGACCTCCCATGACCCACATAGACAGGACCGGGGGACTGATTATGGGGTCCCCACCCCCAGCACTCCCTGGGCCAAGGGCAGGAGTATGGCCATCGTCGAGCCAGGACACCACCGTCCCTTGTGTGAGTGACCCTAAGTCAGGCCCCTCTGTCCCTGTCTGGACCCCAGCAAGAGGTCAGCGTGAGCTCTTGGGAGTTGATGAGGCCGGGTCCACACTTGCAACCCCTCCAGAGGGCCCCTCTCGGAAATGAAGCACAGAGACCCTGGGTGCCTCCTGGGCCCTGGGAGTGGCAGTCAGTACCCTGCCAGGACGTCACCCTTCCCACCACACGGTTTCTGGAGTGTTCACTGTCCCTGCTTCCTTCTCTGTCACTACCTTGCTCTCTTTAGGATCCTCCCCACCTCTGGACGGGAGACGTGGAGTCTGACCACCCGGTGACCTCGCTCATCACTGGCTCCAGGACGCTGGGCTGGGGGAGGCGGGAGGGCCAGCCACCTGGAGACAGATGGGCCAGGGAGGGCGGGGCTCACATCCCGGGCCCCATCCTGACTAGTATCATGAGGACGCCGAGCGTCGCCCTTCCCAGATCCATAACCGAACTCATGTTCTCAAAGGGCAGTGCCAGAAGTTTCCAGAAGCCTTGGGCCCCTGGGAGCAAGAACCAGAGGAAACCCTGACGCCAGACCAAAGGGTTTGGACTTGAAGGAGCCTCAGGTGGCTCCTCGCCAGCAGGGAGCCTTTGAAGTCCCAGGACTCGAAGCCGGATGCACCCTCGGCAATCCCAGAACCGGCGTTCTTCAACAGCACAGCCCCTGCCATGCCTGTCGGAACAGGGTCCTGACTCAGCCGCCCGGGAACCCGCATCTGACTGTCCCTGTGGCACGTGCTGCCTGCCCAGGGCCCCCGGGGAGACCCAGTGCTCACCCAGCCACCTGGCATGTCAACTGGGGAAACCGAGGCACAAAGGATCCCAAAGCAGCGGGAGAAGCTGCCTGGCCAGGGGCAGGTGGGGCCACACGTGCACCCCTCAAGGACCATTCCATGATGGAGATGGGGCCACGTGGGTCCTGTCCTGCTCTGTCTCTGGGTGAGTGGTGGCTGCATGGGTTTTGTGTATTAATGGGGTGTGCATCTTAGGTGTTGTCACGGACTGCATGTCATGTCCCCTGATTCACATGTGGAGGCCCTGACCCCCAGTGTGATGGTCTCAGGAGTGGGGCCTTTGAGAGGTGATGAGGTTTAGATGAGGTCATGAGGGTGGGGCCCCCATGAGGGGGTTAGTGTCCTTATAAGAAGAGGAAGAGGCTGGAGATCACTCTCTCTCTGCCATGGGAGGATCAGTGAGAAAGCGGCCCTCTGCAAGCCAGGGACAGAGCACCTGCCGGCCCCTGATCTTGGAGTTCCAGCCTCCAGATGTGAGAAATAAAAGTCTGTTGGTTAAGCCACCCCATCTGTGGTATTTGTTATGCAGCCCCAGCTCACTGAGACACCCACTCACAAATGCTGTCTTTATGTGCTGGCATTGAATACACTTTGAGGGCTTCGTGGTGTATTGGGAAGGGGCACCGTCATGCCAGAACTCGTCCACGATATTCATGTGCTGACCATGGCAAGAGGTCCCTGGGGCACCACCCATCCAGGTTGTGTGGGGTGGAGGGAGTCACACAGGGGCCAGGCCGGGTCGGGAACAGTCATCGGTAACCCCCACCTGAGGTCACAAGGGTGATGGTGACAGGGCAGGTGGGGCAGGTCAGCGGCTGGACAGTGATCAATGGCAGGCACAGGCCTGAATGAGGCCAGGGACTTGGAAGGGATAAATAACCAGCCTCCCCAAGAGAGAGGCACTGAGACGTGGGGCGGGGGAATGGTGGGGACACAGGCTGGTGGGAGGCAGAGAGCTGTCTGAAGGCCACGGTGACTGGCCAGCAAACATGGCCATGGCTCAGATCCTCAAGCTGCACATGGAGGGGCTACCAGCCCACGGGGTTCGGCCCTCTGGGCCTGAGCAGCTCAGCGGCAGAAGAGAAGAGCCGGTGTGAGCAGAGGAGGGAGTCGGGAATACGTCTGTTTTCTCTGGGCAATGAATGCCCAGGCGTCGTGGCTTCAAACAGCACCTGTTTATTAGCTCACGAGGCTGCAGGTTCCCTGCCCAGGGTCTCGCGAGACCACAATCAAACTGCTGGCCAGTTTGGGGAAGAACGTGCTCCAACCTCACCCAGCTGTCAAACTCAAGTCTTGCGTTAGAGGAGCCAGTTCCCACGTACTTGCAGGCTGTTGGCCGGGACGTTCTCAGCTCCTAGAATCTGCTTTCTGGTCCCGGAACACTTCCCCTCATCTCAGATCCATCATCAAATCCCTGGATGGTCCCGACGTCTGACTTCTGCTGCCAGCTGGAGGCTCTGCTTTGGAAGCACACGTGAGGTTAGATGAACTCGGGCTGGTGGCCCAGATTCATATCTGCCATCCACTGCAAGTCCTGCAGATATTGCCAGCGTGATCCGTCTGCATCACTGTCCCAGGCGGCAGGGTGGGGCCTTGGTGGTGCAACAGGGAGAGCGACCCTTCCCAGGGCGAAGAGCCCTCTGCCACCCTTCCCCCACACCACACATGCCCTCCCGAAAGCGCCCGCACAGCCCGGAGGGCCAGGCCCAAGGGGCAGGGACATGACGTCTTTATTTGCTCCCGCCACTAACTGCGCTCACCTTCAGTGGTGAATGGAGGCGACAGGCTGAAGTGGCATCGCAGTTCCTGATGGCACCAGGAGAACGCGGATTCTTCCATCTCAGGTGACAGTTGCGGAGATGACAAGAGGCCCTTGTCATCTGAGGTGCCCTCAGCCCACGGCGACCTGTTGGCTCAATAAGGAAACCGGCTCCCGAGTCACAAGCCTGTTCGCTGCCGTAACTGCTTCCCTCTCCTCCACTCGGTTTGGGCTGAGACAGGGCCGCAGGCTCCACTCCCCGTGTTCACCTCTTACTACTACCTGGCACGTCTGTTGGCAGAGGGGCCACCCCAGTGCACTGCGATCCTGAGCTTCACCAGCCTCTCCATGGGCGTCCTTCCTCTGTTCCGGGATCTGACTCAGGAGCCCAGGCACCTCTGATGCCTTTGCATTTTCTCGTTCTGAGCACATGGGGATGCGTAGAGGACCAGGGTGAGGACTGGGTGCCCCCGCCCCCCACTCATGCTGCCTCCTGTCCCTTGGAGACCCTCATCAGGCCAGGACGTGGTCCCCCAGGACACTGGGGTTTCTGCCCACTCCCGGTCCAGCCCAGCCCCTGGCCGGAGCGCCCGTCTCCTCCCACAGGCTGGAGGAAGGATTTACAGACAGTGGCTCCCAAGCCTTGGTCGGTGGGGGCGTCTGCCTTCTCCTCGGGTTAACTATCTGGATCCTTGGGGGCGGTCCCTGGCTTTGCTCAGATATGATTGACACGCAGCAGTGTGTGAGCCTCAGGCGTGGGAGGTGACAGTGTGATGTGTGTACACATTGCAAAATGATCCCACGAGGTCAGCAAACAGCGTCCGGACTTTTACATGATTTCTTTAATGACCCAGTTTATCCTTGAAGGCCCAGCTGAAATCCAGGGCCGATGGGCCCCTTTGACCCTTCCCCACCCCTCGTTTCCCGCACACCAGCCCCTCCCCTCATCCGGTGGGAGCCCCCAGCCCTCTGTCCTCCTTGCCCTGGTCAGGGTCTGCATTGCCCATGCCCGCCAGCCAGAGCAATCTAAGGAACTAAGCGGGCCATTGGGTCCAGAGGGGTGAGAGAAGCCCCAGAGGTGAGAGAGGATCCAGCCGGGGCTGGCGGCCGGCACCCTGGCCTCACTCGCTCTTCCAGGAGGTGGCAAGCCGGGGCCTGCCAGGGAGGAGGGCCGGGAGGAGGCGGGGTGGGAGCTGACTCAGCACCCCAGGAGGGAGCTGGGGGGAAGCTGCGAACTTGGGAGTCCCCTGTCTGCCTGCCCTGGAGCCGTGGCCTGGGGGCATGCGGGAGGCAGGGACACTGCGCAGGAAGGGCCGTCAGGAGGCCAGGCGGGCGCAGGTCTGTGCTCTCTGCGGGAGGCCGTGGGGTTCTGGGGTGCCACCTCGTCCCCCCACCCAGAATGAGGGTGGCAAGACCAGCACCTTGGGACTGACGGAGACGGAGAGGCCAAACCTTTTTCCTCCTGCCTGCACTCTGTGGCCCTTTTCTTCTCCACTCGCTCTGAACCTCCGTGCAGACAGGCCCATTCAATCAGTGAAGACAGATCCACTTGGAGTGGATTTTCCTCTCGCAGACCCTCCTCCCCATCCCCACTGGAGCTGGGCTGCTGGCAACAGAAGAGGAGGAGGAGGAGGAGGGGACCCTGTGAGCCTCAGGAGCCAGACCCCCCAGAAACGCTCCGAGGGCAGAGTCATGACCATCACCTGTCCCCAGCATTCCATCAGGAAAATGTTCAGCAGCCAGAAAAGGTGGGGAATGGGGACAGGCACATCTGCACGCCCACAAACCACGGTTCACTCTGCCGGGTTCATCACGTACCCACCGGGCCCTCCTCTGCCCATCTGTGACTCTCACGGTTTGTGAGGCCTCGGCCCGCTTTGCCCGTGACACTCGGTGGCTCATGGTTAACTGGAGTCCACGTCTGTTTAACAGATCACAGCCCACGTGGAGCATCAAAATGAGGACCGGGTGGCCTGAAGCGTCCTGGTTCCTGGGCTGCAGGAGTCGGAGCCTGTCAGGGGAGCCTCACTTTCAGTGACCAGTTGGTCCTGGCTTTCAAACAGAAGCCCCTTCAGTCCCGGGCAAACTAGGACAGTTGGTGCCCAGCCTCACCCCACACACGGGCCTCTGAGGCACCTGCGCTGGGGCTCCCGGGTGCTCCAAGGTGCATGGGTGGAAAACCATAGCCTGGCTCCCACAGTGACCTCCCTGGCCTGGCATGGCCTCCAGGACCGGCCACGGCAGCCCTTTCTGGGTCTGAGGCAGAAGCAGCCTGGTGAGTGACCGGCCAGGCCACCCAGAGGGAGGAGAGAGGTGGCGTCTGAGCTACGGGGGGCGCCTAAGAAGCTGCTGCAGGAGCCCGACCCGGAGCCCCGATTCTGCCCCACCCAGCTCCCGCCGCCCTCACGGGGCCCCCGATACTTGATGCTCGGTTCTCAGGGCCCCCATGCGTCCCTCCACTCCTCACAGACAGTGTCGTGCCAGCTCTCTCACTGCCCGTTCCTGTCACTAGTGCCGATGGGGCGGGGGCAGGTGGCCTCACAGGTGCACCCCTGAGAGGACTTCCTGCTCCCAAAGCCCTTGGCAGAGCCCCTAGCACCTGCTTCTCGCCAGGCACAGGTGGGACGTGGGGACACACGGGGTCACTGGAAGAGGTATCAGGAGGCAGAAACGCACGCCTGGCTCAGCCTGGGACAGGCAGAGCCATCCACACACGGTGCACAAGTCAGCATTGGCTGAGCGGTCACTGGGCCGGGACAGGGGCGTCTTGGTGGGTGGGGGACATAGAAACGGGCTGGGGCGGGTTGGACAGAAGTGGAGGTGACGATGTTCTGAAGAAGTACGGGGATCGGGGGGTTGCTGTCTGTCTTACAGGCGGGAGGCCCTCCGTGCCATCATGGGCAGCATGGGCCAAGAGTGGCAGAGGGGGCACGCAGGCCAGGCATGGCCTGACTCCCCCGTCCTCACTGCCCCTCTCTGTGCTCAGAGAGGCACCCCTGCCCGGTGCATCTCCTCAGCCTGGAGGCCTGGCTTTCGCCCACTGGCTGGGTGCCCCCCAGGCAGAGACTGCTGACCTCGGCCGTGTGTGTGGCTTCCCTCCCATCCTGCCCTCCGTCTGCTTGGCTGGGGCTGGTCCTTTGGGAAGCTGAGCACCAGGTCAATGCAGGGCCCTCCCAGGAGGCAGCCGCTGTGTTCTCCACTCAGAGCCGTCTGTGCAGGGCAGGTGCGGGAGGATGAGACACAGACCACAGGATACCTCCTGCAGAGGAAAGACCACAGGCCGGGTGAGAGCAGATGGCTGGCCCTTCTGGAAACCTTGGGGTCCTGGGCCATGGGGCGGGCATGGGAGAAACCTGGGGAGGTCAGGCCTGGCCGGGCGCTGGCTTTCAGTAGCCTCCACAAGTAGGGAACCGACGAGTGAGCCTGGGGCAAGACCCAGCTGGGGACAAGGGCAGGCCTGCGGTGTCCGGCACAAGGTCGTGGCTGGTTTGTGGCTCATCAAGACTTTCAGTCGGAGGACAGACAGACAGACAGACGGGGGAGCGCGAGGGAGGGGTCAGATACAGGGCGTGGACGGGCGAGGGACCCAGGGGGCAGGGAGTCTGGTCTGGCCGTGTCAGGCCTCCGCCGCGATCAGGGACACAGGGGCTGGCCGCCCATGGGGAGGAGACTCGGCTCCGCTCAGGCGGCAGACAGCAAGGAGGGTGGACACTCCCAGGACGATAGGCCTAACTCTGAGAGATGAGGGATCAGGAGTAGGGGACCAGGAGAGGACAGTGTGACGCTGCACCCCGGAAGGGTGGGAAACACTCAAGTCCGGGACTTCGGAGCTGAAGGCTCCTCCACCCCACCGGCACACACGCTGCAGAGGGGCGGCCGAGCGGGTGACCACAGTGGGGTCGAGGAGGCCGAGATGAGTGGACAGAGCCCCGAGTTGTACAGGGCCTGGTGCAGACAGAGGGCGTGTGCGGGAGGCTGGTGTGGGGGGAGCAGGCTGGACAGGCCCAGAGTCCAACGGAGCCGTGACAAGGAAGCATCTGCCTGCGCCCAGCACGAGGTGCTGCAGGGCGTGGGCCCTGGGCCCCAGGTGAGGTGGCCCCAGAGACCTGGAAACCAAGGAGGGAAGGGCATCGGTGTCCTCTGGTCTGACCTCCAGAGGCATACGGTTTCTCTGAGAGACAGTGGGTCCTGTGTCCTGCCCCTCTCTCGCAGCTGGATGGAGACAGGTTAGACTCAAGTGGGACCTGAACGTCCGTGTCAATGCGGGTGTGTGGGCTGCAGAGGGACACAGAGGTCCCTGTCCTACCTTCTCGGGGTGCTCAGTTCTCCCAGAGGAGAGGAGGTGCTGAACAAGAGGACCCTCTGGGGTTCAGCAGAGGCACCAATAGAGCGGCCATGGCCTCAGTTTCCCCAAACAAGGGAAGGAGACACAAGCTGTCTCTGGACCCCCCGGAGCCAGTCCCCAGAGCAGGGACTTCTTGCCAGGCCTCGAGGCTGGACCCACCGGGAGGCCCAGAGGAAGGAGGGTCCGGGATCCCTGAGAGCGTGTGGGCAGGGCCCGCTCCTCTGTGCTCAGAGGCAGCTGGTCTCCCGGGGCCTGTGCGTTTAGAACCCATGGGCACCCTAGAGCCGCCCCCGAGCTGTGCTCCTGGCTCCGGGGCCTCCACGCCTGCGTCCCCCTGCCCCTCCCAGGCACCTCCAGACCCCTTGTGAGGTCAGTCTTCTGCGCAGAGGCCCGCCCCGGGGTGAGGAGGTGCCAGACGCAGAGGAATTAGGCCGAGTTCTGCCTGCAAGGCCCCCACAGACTCGCGCGCCCCCAGGCGGCAGGGCCCAGCACGCGTGGGCCTGAAGACGCTCTCTCCCCTCTAACGCTAAAGGACCTGGCGGTTCTTCAAAGTCGAGAGGTGATGGCACAGAGAAGCAGACACAGTCAGTCAGTTTGACACATGAACACATGTGCAGCCTGCACCCCATCACACACAGCACCTCTGTCACCCCGGACCATCGAGGCCCCGTGGGACCCTCCACGGTGACCAGAATGTTCCGTAACGCCCAGCATGGCAGCCGGGGCCACGTGTGGCTGGTGTGACTGAGAAACCAAATTTCCCTTTTTGTTGTTATCATTTGGGTTGATTTGCATCTCCTTGGCGTGTGTGGCGCTTGGGAATCCCCGCAGAGCGCAGCCTGAGAGGCGTTCCCTGGGGCCGCCTTCGGGTCTCCCCATCCTCCCATGTGGATGAGGGCACGACTGGCCCGGTTTTGGTGCCCGTCCACGGTGTGGCCTTGGTCTTGGAGGAGTGGTAGGCATGCTGTCAGGCCTCCCCTCCCCCACCGCGGGAGACCCCTGCCCGCCACGTGCACAGTCCGCTCCTCTCTCTTCCCGAGCAGCACCCGCCCCAGTGCCCCTTCTGCTCACTGACCCATGTGACCCTACTGACCCCAGTGACCCACGCCCCCATGGATGTAGACAGGGGTGTCTCTGAGTTTTGCTCTTGCCATCAAGCCCAGTGAGCATTCCTGAGCGTGTCAGGTGGTGGACGCATGTGGTCACGTCTGTGGGTAACTGGCTGCAGCAGGCTGGCACAGCAGGCGGTTCAGCAGTGATTCTGCCCATGTGATCCTGTGGCTGTGTGCCATCTTGCCACCCCAGAAGTATCCTTGTCCCTCCTGCCCCAGACCTGGCAGCCCCTCCTCTGGGCAGCCCCTCGGCAGTGGCACTGTCACACTGTGTCCTCGGGCTCTGTTCTCTGCCGCCCCGACCCTCAGAGCGGGGCGCCCACAGTCTGCAGGAGGCAGCCCCACTCTCCCTGGGTTTATCTTCCATCACTCCGCGTGCACATCTGGCGTTGTGTGCTACATCTCAGTACAGGGTAGGGACAGGCTTCCTCCGCAGTAGAAGCACGGCTCGCCCTGGAAGGCACGAGGGCCCGGAAAGACAGGGCCCGTGTGCGTCCTCCAAGGAAGGCCCGCCCTAGGGCAGGTCCGACTCCTGCTCCTGTTCCACGGGCCGGCGGGCAGCTCCCCACTAACCAGGCCTCCTGGTCCCCCTCTCCCAGGTCCCTGGCGGTTGGGCCGCAGTACTCGTCCCTGGGCACACAGCCCACCCTCTGCGCCAGCATCCCAGGCCTGGTCCCCAAGCAGCTGCGCTTCTGCAGGAACTACGTGGAGATCATGCCCAGCGTGGCAGAGGGCGTCAAGATCAGCATCCAGGAGTGCCAGCACCAGTTCCGTGGCCGCCGATGGAACTGCACCACCGTCAACAACAGCCTGGCCATCTTCGGTCCCGTGCTGGACAAAGGTACAGCCTTCCCGGCGGAGGTGGCAGCCTGTGGGTGCCTTGGGGTCAGAGCCAGCTTCCCCCTTGGCAGGGGCAGGGTGGGCACAAGCCGCTCTCCCGCTTGCCCGGTGTCCCCCTGTGCTCGGGCACCTCCCACAGGTAGGCAGTGCTGCACAGACCTCATTGCCGCCAGCATCTCCCCCCCGGGGGGCCTTTCCCTCACTTGCCCGTCGCGGGGGGAGGGGGGCTCCTGGAGCTTGGGGAGGACATGGGATCACACAGAGAATCCTCCTGCTTCCCCTTTGCCAAAAGGAAAGTGCAGGGTTCCAGGGGGACAAGGTCGACCACCACAGGCCTCCCGCAGGAGCCAGGGCTTGGAGAGAAAATGCAGCAGAACGCAGGAAGGCCGAGGGTCTGGGCAGCAGAGGCACCCCGCGGAGCTCTCCAGGGTCCTGAGCGGGAGGTGGTGGGGAGAGGAGATGAGGAGGCTGGGCATTGGTTAGCTCTAGGTGAACGGCGGATTTTCACGAGCTGTAGTGGTTTAAATGACAATAATCATGTGCAGAACATCTCAGCACCTGCAGATGAGAGAACAGCGCCCGCAGGCAGGGCCAGGCACCGCCTCCTGGCTGGGCCTGTTCTCCGGCATCTGACTGAGAGGCTCGGGAACACTCGAGGTGGCCTCTGCACTTGGCCTGGGCCTGCGGGCAAGTGGCGGGGTGGGGGAGAGGGAGAGGGAGAGGGCTTCTTTCACTCAGCATAATGTTTTCAAGATTCATCTGCAGTTGTACTGTCAGCGCTTCATTCCTTTTTAAGGCTGAATCATATTCCACTGTATGGATGACCACACTGTTTTGTCCATTGATCCACTGACGGACGTTTGGGTTGTTTCCACATTTTGGCTGTTGTGAGTAGTGCTGCTATAAACATTTTTGTACAAGTATCTGTTTGAATACCTTTTTCAAATCTTTTGGGGTGTATTCCTAGGAGTGGAATTGCTGCATCATATGATAAGTCTATGTTTAACTTTTTGAGGAATCACCAAACTTTTCCATAGCAGCTGTACCATTTTACATTCCCACCAGGAATGCACAAGGGTTCCAATTTATCCACATCCTCACCAATACTTGCCATATTCTGCCTTTTTTTTTCTTCTAACCATCCCAGTGGATGCAAAGTGGTGTCTCATTGTTTTGATTTGCATTTCCCTGATGGGTGATGATGGTGAGCATCTTTTCATGTGCTTATTGGCCATTTGAATGTCTTATTGGGGGAAATATCTATTCAAATCCTTTGCCTAGTTTTTAATTGGGTTGTTTGTCTTTTTCATGTTGAGTTGTAAAAGTTCTTTATATATTCTGTATATGAGATCTTATCAGATATGATTTACAAATATTTTCTCCCATTGTGTAGGTTGTTTTTTCACTTTTGTGAGGGTCCTTTGATGCACAAAAGTTCCTGGTCTTAGGGGGAAAACGTTTCTGTCTTTCACTTTTGAGTATATAAAGTTAAATGTGGGTTTTTCATAACTGCTCTCTATCAGATTAAGCTCTCTTCTATCCCTGGTCTGTTGAGTGTTTTTATCATGAAAGAGTGTCACGTTACATCAGATGCTTTTTCTGCATCAATGAAGACAATTGCATGGTTCTGCTCCTTCATTCTATTGGTGTGGTGTGTTATTATCTGTTGGTTTTCTCATCTTGAACCACCCTTGCATTTTTGGGATAAATCCCCCTTGGTTGTGGTGTATAATATTTTTAATATGCTGGAGGATTAGGTTTACAAGTATTTTGTTGAAGTTTTCTGCATTGATATTCATAAGGGTCTGTAGTTTCTTTTCCTGTAGTGTCTTTGTCTGGTTTTGGTATCAGAGTAACACTGGCCTCATAGAGTGAGTTAGGAAGTGTTTCCTCCTCTTCAGTTTTTTGGAAGAGTTTGAGAATGATTGGTGTTTATTCTTCTTTAAATGTTTGGTAGAACTCACCCATGAAGATTTTCTTTGTTGGGAGGTTTTAAATTACAGGTTCAATCTCTTTACTTGTTACAAGTCTGTTCAAATTTTCTATTTCTTCTGGAGTCAGTTTTGGTAGTTTGTGTGTTTCTAGGAATTTCTGGATTTCATCTGGGTTCATCCTCCATTTTTAGAGGATAGTTTTGCCAGATGTAGAATTCTTGGTTGACAGTGTTTTCTTTTAGCACCTTGAACACGCCCTCTCACTACCTTCAGGCCTCATTGGCTTCTGACGAGAAACTGGCTGTCAATCTTATTGAGGATCCTTTGTGTGTGATGAGTTGCTTCTTTCTTGCTGTTTCAAGATTCTCTCCTTGTCTCTGTCTTTTGACAATTTGATTAAAATATGTCTTGGTATGGATCTCCCTCTGTTTATCCAACTTGAAGTTTGTTGAACTTCTTGGAAGTGTAGATCCAAGTCTTTTATCAAATTTGGAACTTTTTTGCCATTATTTCTTCAAATATTCTTTCTGCCCCTTTCTCCCTATCCTCTCCTTCTGGGACTCCTCTGATGCGTATGTTGGTACATTTGATGGTGTTCCACAGTTTGTTCAATTTTCTTCATAATTTCAATTGGACTATCTTCAGGTTCACTGATTCTTTCTTCTGCCTGCTCAACTCTGATGTTGAAAGCTTCTAGTAACTATTCCATTTAAGTTTGTGCTTTTCAGCTCCACAATTCTTATTTGGTTGCTTTTTTATAATTTCTTTCTCTTTATTGATATTCTCTCTTTGATGAGACATTGTCCTCCTGGTTTCCTTTATCTCTTTGAGCATGTTTAGGACAGTTGATTCAAAGTCTTTGTCTAGTACATCCAATGTCTGTGCTTCCTCCAGGATAGTTTCTGTTAATTTCCTTTTTCCTATGAATGATCTGTACTTTCTTGTTTCTTTACATGCATTGTAACATTTTGTTGAAATCTGTACCTTTTGAATATTATAATATGGACACTCAGGAAATCAGATTCTTCCTCCTCCTTGGGGTCTATAGTTGCTTATTTGTTTAGTGCCTTTTCTAAACTATTTTTTATGGCTATATTCTTTGTCATGTGTGGTCTCTGGGCCCTCTGTTTCTTTAGCTGGCAGTTTGGCAGAGATTTGCTTAATATCCTGGAACAAAAACTAAAAGCTTCCTACTCTGTGGTTTTGCTGCTGTGCCTGCATGCTGCCTTTGAGACCTAACCTCAGAGGCCATGCAACACCACATTCTGTTGGTCAACACAAAGGCCCACCTGGGTTCTAGGCTGGGGACACAGACCCCTAGAGGGCACATCAAGGTCACCTTGTGAGACGAGCATGAAGGATGGGAAGTGCACTGGTGCAGCCACCTCCAGGGGGTGCCATCCACTCCAGAATGGGCTGGCGGAGACTTGCTGGTTGAGGCAGGGTCCCAGGGACCACAGCTGAACATGAGTCAGCAGCGACAGTAGGCCACAGAGGACCTGGGGAGAAAGTGGTGCCAGAGGAAGGCAGCTCAGGCAAAGACAGGGCGGCTCACGTTAGCAATGTCCCACTGAGGCCTACAGTCCGAGGGGTGTTGGTGATAGGATGGCCAAGGCCATGCATCTCTCCCACACACCTGCTTCCCTGTCGTGTCACGGGCAACCCTGTCCTTCTGTTACCTGGGGCGCCCATGACATCTCCCCATCATAAGTCTCATCGGCAATACCTTCAGTGTCAATGCTGAATCCAGCCACCCCCACCAAGCCCAGCCGTCCTGACACCCTGCATGATCACAGTGGCTCCTATGCACCTGCTCAATGCCATTCCTGGTGTCCCTGCGGCCAGGAGAGCCGTGTCAGACCACGTCCCTCCTTCACTCGGCCCCTCCGGGGCTCCCAGCTCTCTCGAATCCTTTGGCCTTGCTGCCTCATTTTCTTCTTCCTCTCCATCATCCCTGTGCTCCTCTCCTGCCCCACTGGCCTCCTGGCTGCTTCCCAAATACCGAGCGCAGCTTCATCCTCAATCCTTTGTCATCACGTCCCTGAGCCTCCCTGTGAGCCCTGCGAGGCCACGCTGCTTGCCCTGTCTGCCTTGCTGGCATGTGGTCAGTGCCAACGGTAAGAACTAATGGCCTTGCTCAGACCCAGCAGCTGCAACACAGAGGAAGGAAGGAGAACAACGGAGCCTGGGAGGAAGACGCACTGCTGCCTGCATGTGGTCCCAAGGGCAGCTGAGCATTACACTAAGGGATAGTGGGGACTGATGGCGTTTGTTCAAGGGCCTGGGGCTCCCGGAGATCAGACGGTCCTCGCCACCATCCCCAGGTGGGCCCATGTTCTCGGTGGGGTGGGGAGGTCATGCCGTGTGATCTTGACCTGCAAGTCACCTTGCTTCCTGGAGCGTCAGCATTCCCTGTCTATAAAATGGGAGAATAAGTGTCACTTGACCAACATCACAGAGCTGCTGGTTGGGGTAATTACATAGCAAATCCCCACGGGGATGGCTGTGCTGTGTGCGGGAGGAGTCAGGTCAACAGGGGCATGTGGCACACTGGGCAAGTGTATGTGAGTGTGTGAGCATGTGTGTGTGTGAGAGTGTGTATGCATACATGTGTGTGCATGTACCTGTGTGTACACACAGGTGTGTGCATGTGTGTATGTGCATGCATGTGTGTGTGCGCATGAGTGAGCATGTTGTGGTACACGCATGTGTGTGGTGCAGTTGCTGCCCCCACGGATCCTGTGCTGTGTCATGGCTGGTGGTATCATGGGCCAGGGAGGTGTGTTCAGTCCTTGCACGGTGGCCCAGGCCATCTAGATTCCTGGTTCCAGAGCCCAGATGGGGGTGCTTAGGAATCCCACTCCCCCAGGGGAGAAGGAAATGGCAAGATTTCAGGAAGAAGGCGGGAACCTGTCCCACCTGGAGAGGCCGCCATCCAGGTGGTGGAGGAAGGCTGTCTTGGGCCCCGCCTGGAAGCCAGGGAGAGAAGCGTGGGTTTACTTCTGGGCTCTATTCTACCCACTGGGCCACACGTCTGTCTGTGCCCGGGGCCGTGCCGTCCTGATTA